TGTATGTTTGTGCACGTATGTGTGTGTGTGCGTGTTTGTGTGTGTTTGTGTGTGTGTGTGTGTGTGTGTGTGTGTGTGCCCGGGGGAGGGTAGGGAGGACCTCCCCCACCAATCAATCAATCAATCAATCAATCAATCAACCAATCAATTAATCAATCCACCAATCAATCAATCAACCAATAAACCAATCAGTCAATCAATCAATCAAATCAATCAACCAATCAATCAAACAATCAATCAATCAATCAATCAAATAACAATCAAACAATCAAGATTTATTTTTTCTTCTGTTTTTTGTTTTCTTTTTTTCACACACCAAAAAGTTGACAAAAACTACCCTTCCGAAAACTATATTTTTTAACTTGTTTTTGTTCGAGGGGGTCGGGTCGGGGTTCCGGAACCCCAATCCGAACCCCCCACCCCCAACCCCCTCTTCCCTCGGCCGCTGCGGACCGCGGCAGACCGCGGCCTCGCGGCCACAACCGCGGGCCAGGGTCGTGCCCGCGGTGACTGAGGCAGCTGGTGTTTCATGGGCCATTTGCCCTATCGCACATGACTGCGACACAGTCTTAAACCACAAGTACTTGGCCCATACATCGGCCGCGGCACGTTGTCTTTAATGCCCCGCAACTTCCAGCGGCTCAGGGTACCAGCCCTCAAAGGCTGGCACCGCCAGCCAAAACAATTTTTTCTTGTTGCGCTAGTGGGTGGGTGCAAAACGGCGCTCAGGCTCGGCATTCATAACCGGGCCAAGTATTTCAGGCTCGGCATCGATAGCTGGGCCAAGTATTTCAGGCTCGGCATCGATTGGGCCAAGTATTTCAGGCCCGGCATCTATAGCTGGGCCAAGTATTTCAGGCTCGACATCGATAGCTGGGCCAAGTATATCAGGCTCGACATTGACAGCTGGGCCAAGTACTGGAGGTTTAACGTCCAGAGACCTCGGGGGCTTTGAGTTCTCTAGCCTTCCCTCTTCGTAATCTATTGTAAAAAAAAACGAAAAGAAGATCTTGTGAAACTAAGGTAAGTGGGACCTCATCCACGGGACGTCACTAAGGATCTGGATTGAACACTGTCCAAGCATATGCTTCTCTCTCCACGGAGTCGGTTTTTTTTTTTTTTTTTTTTTTGATAATATTTGATTCGCTCTTCAAAATAAAAGGAAAATTGAAGGGGGAGAAAGAAAACAAACAGAACAAAATTCCTGCACAGGTTTGCTCTGAGGGGTCGGAATCACCATCATCATATTCCTACCCCATCTCAGGGAAAAAGGAAAAAAAAAGAGAAAACCTGTTCAATTCATGTTAAAACAATTCCAATCGATACCTACTACTTTGTCTATCTTTCCTTCTCCACCCCCCCTCCTACCTTTCACGATATACCTTCCACTATGGCTAAGGCTATCTAGCAGACACCTGCAAGCAGTGTCGTCACGGGGATGGCGCGTACGGACTACCGTTCGACCGTAAGGACGTGCCCGCAGCACCCGTACGGACTACCGTACGACCGTATGGAGGTGCCCGCAGCGCCCGTACGGCCCGTACGTGCAGACTTCCCCTGCTCCGTACGTGGCCTTCTTCGGGGGGGTTGAGGGGGTGGATGGGCTGGGGGGAGTTCGGTGTCGGGGGGTACCCCCCCCCATTCAAAAACGAAAAAAATAATAATAATAATAATAATTTTTTTGGTCCCCGGTGTCAAAAAAAAAAAGAAAAAAGATTGATTGATTGATTGATTGATTACTTTGTTGATTGATGATTGAATGCTTTGTTGATTGATTGATTGATTGATTGATTTGTTGATTGATTGGTTGGTTGATTGATTGATTGATTGATTGATCGATCGTAAAAAATAATAATAATAATAATATTAAAAAAAATCCATGCAAAAGAATGATAGGTTGATTGATTGATTGATATGCTGTGGGGGAGTCGCCTCCCCCCCGCGAATACACGCCACACACAGGCACACACACACACACACACACACACACACACACACACGGGCCTTTTTTTTTCTTTTGATTGATTGCTTGATTGATTGATTGCTTGCTTGCTTGCTTGCTTGATTAATTGATATGCTGTG